GGATGTGGGTGTGGGTGTGGGTGTGGATCTTATTCTGTGCTTCAACAACACACCAACACTCACACCCATAGGCCTTCCCTTCATAATTATAGCCATTTTACTGGAATTTTAGCGTAAAGCACTGTACACACTAACAAATCGAATGAAAGTATTTCGGCCTAAAATTTTGCCCAGAAATAGGCCTACTTGTAACTAGAATGCTCTGACATTTTCAGCTAAAAGGGTGTGAGTGTGGGTGAGTGTCTTAATGTATGTTGAAGAATAAGATCTACGCACCCACAGCCACACTTACACGCTTTTGGTCCGAATGGCTTCGCATAGGTTTATGTCCTCTAGCTTCTTCTCAATTTAAATATGATGAAGGCCTGCATATAGGTCCTATTCAGCGTATAGTGATGGACAGTTCATGAATTACTTTCCAGGATCAGAAGATTTTTGGTATAACTATAGATTTAACATGTTCTTTTGCGAGTTTAAATGGAGTTCCGTACTGTCGGAATACGAACAAAAATAGACACTTGAGAATGGTCATTGTGTCGAGAAAGATTGGATAGAAAAAAGTTTAACTAATATGGATGATGAAGAGAAATGTATGTTCTATGTTAAAAGCAAGTTAAGCGATGGTTAACATGATGATTGCTATGATGCAACACGTTATTTTCGCTCATTATGTCAATATAAAACAATTGTGTACTCATCCACATCTGTTTTTAAACCATATGTTCGAACAGTATATCAACTATCTGAATTTCAACTTTCGATGGAACCAAAATATGTACTGTTCAATGGTAATATCAAATGTATCGGTTACCAAGCACTTGCTAGAGTACAACACATAAGCTTTGACTGAGATACATTTATAAAAGATTACCACTTCGATTCTCTTTTCTGTAAGCAGTCTATAGAAAGAACAGCATCTGGTCCACAATTTGATCAGAACTGTTGGAATGACACAAAACAGTCATTTATTTGTCAACAGTCTTCAATGCATTTTGAGGCATTGTCTTCGAAATGGTATTAACGGCTGCAGTTATGGAGAAGATGAAATTGATGGTGAAGAATATTATATGACAAACAAACATCGTTTAAATTGTTTCGAAGAATCATCTAAACGTTTATTGGTCTCACTAGTCGTAGACAGTATTGCTCCATGCAACGGTGTTAATGATGAATATATAACGAAATTGAAATTGAATGTAGTTTTAACAACAGAGAGCAGCAAAGTCCTTTTATTTCACCAATATTTCGATACTCTGTGCAATGACTGGAGATGTTCAAAGAATGAGTATCAGTGCTTGAATGATCATTGTGTTTCAACAAACTATGTTTTCGATCAATATTCTGGAGAATGGCATTGTCCAGATGCTTCTGATAATGTCGGTTTTCTCAGGATTACTTAGCTATCGAAGCATAATAATCAAACGGTTATTGATGTCTTTCGACGACAAATGAGAGACGCTTTTAATCGTGGCACGGCTCAAATTAAAAGTATAGCTTTTGATACATTTTGAAATTATTGTGAACAGTATGGTTATATATTAGCCAGTGTTAATGTTCCGCTAAATTTTGCTATTAATCGATCTTGCATCAATCTAACACAAATAGACGATGGTGTTATCAACTGTTACTGAGGATTGGATGAACGAAACGTATTGACATGTGGCAATAATTTGTATGAACAACATGGTTTCAATTTTCACTGCAATGATCAAGAATGCATGCCTTATCATCTTTTATGTCAACAACGGTGTGCAAATAATACAGATAGCCTCTTATATGATCAGTTACGGGTTATTTTGGAACTCATCTTGCGGATACTTTACACACAATATTCTCTGCTGAATATATGAATCATTGAAAGAATGCGATTAATTTCGAACTTGTCTATACTATTATGATAGACCCCGATACTGTAAGTGATTTATTCGTTTAAGAATAATTATGTAGATGAGCATATCTAATATAATAAGATTAATCTGCAAAGGTATTTCATCTGTATAATATAAATATGAATGAACCTTAGATGAACTTTTTTTGCATGCTTGATCTGCGTAAACCTCAAGATTTGTCCATAGTACATGACTTTTTTGCTAAAGAAGCTCAAGAAACTCATGCATATGCGAAAGAACGTTTCACTAGGGAAACTAATTTTGAACTAGATTCCTGTCGAAGAAAATGCGATTATACAACCTAGGAAAGTTGCGTGTCTACATTTTTATGGACTCAAATATTGACCCTATTACGTATTTTCTAATATTTGGCATCCATTGTGTACGTGACCGAGTGAAGAATCAAGATAACAGCTAATTGTCTACTCTAAGAAAATAGTCAATTTAAAGTTGAATCATAACCGAAAAGCTGTACCGTGATAGGTCGACATGTTAGATCTTTTAAAGTCTGATCCGAAGCCGCATATAGTCCGGCTCCAAAGATTAAGCTGGTTATGGATCCAACCATGGTCTGAAACAATTCATATGGAAAATAATCGTCCACCACGCAAGGACTTTATATGTTAAACGTATTCTAACGAGCTTCATGACTAATATTTCATGCCAGGTTGTGCGTCAGTAATGCTCTTGTCCATTGTAAAAATCTCATGACGCTTTTGTTTCATTTCAAGAAGCATCATTAACGACGTCTAACAGCTTATTTCGCATTCATCTGTGTATAATGCTGAAGCGATTGACGTAGAATGTGCTGTATGATTGAACGATAGTTGCTCTAAGAATTCAATCAAGTTATGAAATATTTTCTTTTCTCAAAAAATTCGCCGCTCAATAAAAGACACTAATTGAGTTCCATTTTCAAAAAGATCAACAAACTCTGACAACTCAAGTTTTCTTGATTTGAACAAAACTGTATCAATTAACATCAGCAATAAGAAATTCAATTCTGACGTAGGAAAAAGGCAACTCATCCTTTTGAAAATCTCGTTTCATAAAAGATCTTTGACTCCAACAGTTTGGCGAAGATCTTAAAAAGTTTATAAATAGATACTTCGATGATCGAAATACACAACACTATTGATATAAGTTTTCTTCAATGAAAAACTGTTACTTTTGGACAAGAAATGAAGGCAATCCAAATCGAGACGTAAAAATGATCGAATGAAGATCTTCTTTAAAGATATGTGACTATTGTCAATCACTATGAATTTTGGTCCATGCTCATCTACTTTTTCTTTCTACTTCATTATCAAGCACACTTTAACGGATGTGTTCTATAGTAGTTAAAACGACTCTAAAGATAAACAGACAAAGTGACCCGTCTTTTTGCGATTACTGAAAGCATAAGCGTCGATGAAAGCACCACAATGTGAACAACGAGAGGATTCATACACTGTCAATTATCTATGCGTGGCTCTTACGTACCATAGTATGAAAAGAGATTGTAAATAACGTTCGTGATGCAATTATGAAAGCTAGAACTGTCAAAGTTTGATTAAGTGTGCCGGGAAGAAAACTCAATCTCTTTGTTAAATGTCGAGAAAAAAACTATTCTCCGCAATTCACTTCGATTTTGTTAATGAATGCTGTTCATAAAGACAGGAAAAAGAGAGATTTACTTGATAACAACATATCCTTCAGCTGTCGTGGACGGAGAATACCAAGTCGCTTGAATTTGAGATCTACCTCTTGATGATGTTTGCGTAATGCCATATGAGGATGTACCATCGCAAGAAATAACTTTCACTGCTGAATCAGTCAATGACCAACTGCCCAAAATATTTTGACCACTTTCATCTTTAGCAACCAAAAGAATACCTTTGAAACGATTGGAACGTGTGGCATTTCGAACAGTAACTAAAAAAAAACAAGCAAGCCAAGAAGATAATGATAGACTAAATCACTCACTTCGAATAGTATCATTGCTGTTGTATTGATATTTGCTCGCTTCGATCACATAATTCGGTTGACAGGACATCGAGCTGGTCCCATGAGAGGGCATCATTGTGCCACAAGTGCTGGATGGTGCACCACTCGGATAACTTTGAACAATTCTTGCACATTCAATAACGAAAAGAATCAACGAGCTAAAGACGATCCTCATCTAAAAGTTGATACACATAATAGTGGGGTTTTATCACAACTGAAACAGTATTTTGTTTAGAAATAACAAAAAGAACAAAGAAGTTTTTCTTTTTGAACTAATCATCAAATGACTTCTAAAGAATAATATATTTAAGATACTTTTCTTTGGTGAAATAGGAGAAAACATTACCTTGAAAGGAAAAAATATGACGCTGGCGTAAGAAGCCATTAGCTAATTTTCTCATAGACGGGATAGCAAAAAAAAGTAAGGGCCCTTAAAACGAGTTTATTCGAAATCTAATATCATTCTCTTCTTTTACGAAAAAGACTTTTTATTGTCAACTAGTCATATATCTTACGACCACCTTTGGCCATGACGACGTCCTATTTTTCAATCACTCTATAAGTGAGCACATACTTTATTCTATACCAATATTCGCTTCTCTGTATATATTATGTACGTTGACGTCAATGTGCAACTGGCAACAATAAAGAACGGAGAAAATGAATGTCTTATTTCAAATATTAGTGACAGAAACAAAATTAACATTAGCCTCCCGTTACCACTAGGAATAGAAATATTACCACTGAATCCAGTTGCCGAACTTCAATGGTTCGCTTATCAATAAACTAGAAAAAAAATCGATCAAGATGAATCCTCTTATTTGATGATTAACTGTACAATCAACGACGAACGATTGTAGTTCTCGAAACCAAACCGAGTTTATACAATATCTTGATCAACACATCCTTATGAGAGAGAGATATCGAGAATTCATATTGGTGTTCGAAATGAACGGTTCTAAATTGAACTGTGTAAACTTCAAAAATGTTTACCCCTACTCGCTTTCTTTCTTTTTCTCGATACATATTAATATGTTATATATTGCTGTGCTCTATTGACCGTTTCATTTCGATGAATATAAGTACAATTCAGAAATAGGATATAATAAATCTTTAAGGTCTTGCAAGTTTTCGTGTGAAACAATCTGAGTTATGAATTAATATTAGTTGAATGTGGGTGTGTTATGGATTAGGATATTACACACCCCTCCCCCTCCCCCCCTCACACCCAAAAAAAAGAGAAAATTGAACAAAGAAAGAAGAAGAAAAATCTATTACATCGAGCATCACAATTGGATCGGTCACGCCATGAGATTACACTAAGATTGCGGCCATACTAAACAGATCAGTGTGTTGAACAGGACGCTTTGAGTTGTGCAGACAACAAATTCGTGTTCTACTTTCTTGCCAAAAAGATTGTCAGTGCTCAGCGACGTATGTTTTACAGTATCTTTCCCAATAGACATAACGCACAACATCGAGTGATATTTCATCATAGACAGAAGTGAAGAAGAAAATCTTCCCAAAGAGTGTTGCTCAAGTACTTAAGTTTCAACTGTTGGCATTTGGTGAACAGACAGTAAAGAACTACCAGTCAATTGACAAAAAAAAAGTACGAATGTAGAGAACAAAGCACTTCGAAGTCTTAGTGAAAAATGTTCACCGCCACACTTGATCCAGTTGACCAGTGCATTTGGTTGGCAAATTCTCAAAATTGGCTGATCAATGGTATTATCTTAAAGTGTGAGTGTGGCTGTAGCTTTGAAGACAAGATCTGGACTCACACCCCACATCCCATCCGTTTTAACAAACGGAAAATTATTAGTTGCAGATGGATCTGGTGGTAAATATCCTCCGAATAGTGCTGAGTTGTATCATCCATCAACAGGGAAATGGACAATAGCTCGTAGTATGAATAATGCACGAAATAGTAACACAACATCGGTACTAACAAATGGTAACGTGTTAGTTACTGATGGAGCAAATTGTATTGCTCTGAAGAGTACAGAATTATATTAACGCCTTCCATCCATTTCATCACACGATGATTTTCACAATCAGATACATAGACTGAATGATCTCGATGGACGAATACGGAGAGTGGTCGACTGAGTTGATCGAGACGATTTCCATTTTCATTGCCACCTGCAACAACTATTCCCTGAGATTCTCCACTTCCATATCGTCTCACTTCAGCTTTCCCTTCGTCCACGATATAGAGAGATCCATTCTCGTCCATTGTCAAACCCACACAAAAGTTATTCGATATGATTATTTCTCCACTTGTTCCATTTCGGCGCGATCATCGAACCACTCTATGATTTAAACTATCGCATATAATTAGACTATCTGTTGCTTTATCGACAATAACATCTTGTGGATAAAACAATTGATGAGCGCCACTTCCTTTTCCATTGCCACCGGCAACCACTTGGCTAGTTCTCGTACCTGATTTCCATTCCATAATTCGATGATTTGATTGATCAGCGACATAGACAGTTTGTTCATCATCAACATATAAACCCCATGGATTTGAGAGTTGATTGATTCCATTGCCTAGCCTATTTCCTCCAGCTACTGTGACACCATCCTGTTGCCATCGAGCATTAGGATGAATATCAATCAAACTTGCACGAAGGGATCTCACTGAAAATATTGATTATTTTTTCTATGACAATTTTAGCAATGACATGTATGGTTAGATGTTTTACTGGCAGGTTTTATTTTCCTGTTATTCTGATTTTACACAGACTTGATGATTACTTTCTCATTGTCACTGTTACAGTGGTGAATACGACAATCACGATTAGCTTTCATCTTTGATGAACATGTTTTGCAATGAAAATTAGAGAATGATTTTCTTTTTTGGGATCTATGAATAAATTCTAGCTACCATTTTTGAAGAATGTAATAGCACCCACCCTCAGCAAATTAATGACTTCCGTTTTAGAAAAACTATCGAAATCTAATACACAAGTCGGCTCCATGAACCTCGCTTAGCTTAATCCTGACAGACTGAACATATTGCGTAGAACATTGCTTATGTCGCAAAAGTCGTTTCACTTTTGACCATTTATCGCGATTAATCGACGATTTTACAACTAGCACACAAAAATCGAAGATTAATCGTCCATCTTTTAAATGTTGGTGATTAATCGCGAGTTTTAAAAAAAACAAGATTTTAGAGTTTTCTATGTAAAAAGCGATTCTTATTTTTTTATTTTTGAGTTACAAAAGTAGTTTTGCTAATTTTAATAAAAATATTTCATAAATTCATATAGACCACTACGAGAGAGAAACTTCAGATTGCATATTAATTGGTTGGTAGAATTCGATCAATTAAAAACGAAGACATAAAGATTGTTATTCATGATTAAATTTTAAATGATATATTATTATTTAACACGAACAATACTTTCTGAAACGATTTTTTCCTAGTAAATTCAAATTTGATTAGAAGCAGCTAGTGATTTATTATTATAGCTGAAAATCCTAATTGCTACCACCAATTCTTATGGCTACCATGGTTTGGATCAATATTACTGCGATAAACGTATGGTATATATAACAGTTCTTGCTTTATGAAAACAACATTACCCCCTCTATATAGATCATTTAATAATTTTTTGGGATTAATGTAATTTTAAAAGATTTTTTTATGCTGCTTTATCATCAAAGTGAACAGAAAGTTTTCAAGCATGACGGCACTGTTCTCTTTTATTTAGATTAACAACTTATTTCAATGCATATTGTTATAATTTAATTTTTAAATTTCTAAATATTATATACTGTCAATGAGAAGAAGAAATCATATTACTCTTGATTCGTCTGAATTACTTGCGAACATATTGGTATTAACGATGCTATGTATACAAATACATATCAACACGCAGCAATTATCCTGAATACGCATACTACGATCACATCGAGTGGTCGAAAATATTACACAGTAGCTCAAAAACACTATTGAAATTAGAAACATTACATACTTCAGCACTTTGGTTCGATTACGTCTATGCACTATGTTATTCAGTGGCTTAAGTTGATTCAAAATTTACTTTCATCTTCATCAGGTAAGTAAATCTTTCTATTATGTATTATTGTTGATTTCATGAAAAATATTTTCTGGTAATCAAGTGAAAAACACCAGTATACTAACTTTTTATAGATAAGTTTTACTGGGTATTCTAGTGAATAATAAAAGTCGAAAAGAGTTTTATACATGATTTTCTATTGATTCAGATGAAAGCAAAATTTCCGATAGTACTCTAGTTGATAAGTAATACAACGAGAAATTTCAATTCTTCAAAAATATGCTTTTTTTCAATGTCATTGATATTTGTTGCAATTTCTCAAAGTCCTCGCTTCTCTACTTTATTACAGAACACCAATTTTAGTATTTAAAATTACCGTTTTTAAAAAATTTACTACGTCTGAATCATAGAAAATTATGTATAAACTCTTTCGGGGTTTTATTATTCTCTAAAGTAATCAGTAGAAATTATTTATAAAAGCTAGTATACTTGTGTTTTACACTTGATTACCAGTAAATCTTTTTTTCACGATATCAACAATAATATATAATAGAAGGATTTACTTATTTGACATATATGAAAGTAAATTTTGAATCAACTTAAGCCACTAAATAAAAAAGTGTGTAGACGTAATTGAAACAGCATGCTGAAGTATATAATGTTTCTAATTTAAGTAATACTTATGGTTCATGCTGTTTAAAATAATCGCCGACTTTTTCGATATTTTCATGACATGGGTGCTTATCGAATCAGTGAATAAATTTTTAAATAGGCTTAAACAAATTATAAAACTAAAGATGTGAACCGAGTTCCCAGTCATGAATTGAAGCAACGGTCTTTTT